TCTCAGTGGCAATCATACCACATCTTCTTTTTATATGGAGGTTTTAGTGGCTCGATCAAAACGTGTATAGATGAGATATTTTTGCAAGGTTGATCACCATTCTTAAAATTGAAATACAATGTATTATATGAAAACATTCATTATTTTAGTCTTCCGTCATTCCCTTTTCACGTCTAAATGTAGCATAAACAAACACCTTGAAAAAAAAACGTTTTACCTTTCTTAGTTTTATAGTTGCCTGACAAAATCATATATCATAAATCGCAATAAAACCGTAGATAAGAACTATATTAAAATAATTTTTTTTATAAGTGTTCAGTTATGCAGTAAATTGCAAAACCATAAAATAAGTTTGCACTGTTATTTAGTGATTTAAATAGAAATTTTACTTTATAGCATTTTACAAGATCTTGTCTTCGTGTACTATGTACATGAAATAATTTATGGAGTTGATTGATTGTTGTTTGCTTAACGTCCAGTGGCAACTATTTCATGCATGTTCATGACGAGAACACATAAATTTTAAATACAATAGGTAGGTCTTGCAATAGGAGGTCGACAGTGAGGCAGGACGTGAAAATTGGATTACCACTGGAAACTGAGGGTATATTGAATAAGGACAGAAATTTAGCCTTGCAACAAGTGGCCACATCCGGCCACATCCACACCCCTGAAATAATTGGTGCAAGAGTATCTAATTTGCAGAGATCTATTCTGAAGTTGGCCATCCATATTTACATGTAGTTTCTAATATAATTTAACACATCTAAATAGGTTATTTTAGATACTTTTAGCTCGCTTTAGTAACTGTGAAATTTTTGTGAAACTGTATTTATTGTACATTAGTTTTTGGTATGTTATTATGTACAACCGCTGTCATGGTTTGTTTCGTGGATGTGTTCGCCTCGAGAGCGGGAGGTCGTTGGTTCGAATCCAGACCGGGTCAAGCAAAGACGTTAAAATTAGTATTTGCTGTTTCAACGCTAAATTAGCGGCATTTAAGAGTAAGAGCACAGACTTGTCGGCTCGTAGTCAGAAATGTTTCCGGGTAGGGTGACTATTTTTCTTCCGAACTGATATCTTGTGAACTTACGCGTAAAAAAACCGACTCAGCGTGTCGGTCTAGTACAAAGCAGGTTTAATACTTATATTATATTTACATGTAATCGTCCTGCATATTCATTTAATATGCCGCTGGACGTCATTCATTATCATCATTTATTTTACCGTTATACTATACAGTGAAGTATTTTTCTTCTAATGGTTTATATTACACATTCTTTAATTTCCACGTGCACTGATCGGAATAAAAAATTGCAGGTGATATTTTTCAAACAAACACTTGTGCCTGTTGGGATATCTTTAACGGTAAATATTGTTAAATTAACCCCGTATTTTTAAGTCATGGGACGGTTTTGAGATTATTATTCTGTATACGCATTTTTCTGTATCAAAAGACTGTATGTTGACTCTTAATATTTTGATTTGTCTGTGTCGTTGGGTTGCTGCCGCATTAATCATACTTTTATCTCATTTTATTGAAAACCAAAGGATTGACTTGGGTATAGAAACAGTGACATCTCTTGACCTCTCACGTCCGACAGTAAACACTTGCTAAAGGGGTGCGTCAGTTTGGCTGTTCGGATGTATAAATACGCAGCTTCGTCCGGTCGAAAAAGAAATGTCGTATTTTCGATACGTGGCGTAGTGAGAGTTTCACGCTATCTATATGTTAAAAAACAATTTGAATAAATCTTTGAGGGGGGAATACGATCTACGCACAAGTTCAATAATTGAATCTGTAAACAACAACAAAGGTCAGCTAAGTTTTCAAATAATTCGCATGGCTGATTTTAACACATTGTTTGCGACTTTTGCTAAGGCAATCGTAGATGAAAAAAAAATAAATAACAAAACCGATCAGTAAGACTATATCTAAAAAATAAATGAAACGGTCAAAATAAGTATAATCCTTATATAAACTGTTGCCAACATTTTTTTTTTTATCCATTTTTGCTTTTATAACAACTTTTATTACCAGATATAAAAAAAACTTGAAACAGCAAGTTTTGTCACCTAGACGAGACTGCCGTCGTTGTACGCCTCAATATATGAGTTATTGCCACTCAATGAAGATTTTTTCTGTTCTACTCCCCTCCTCCTAGTTTGGTTGGATAGGATACAATGTAACCCCTAATGTGGACTACGTTATTTAATGTTAAAAAAAAGATTAAATGCAAACAGAAAAATCAGGAAAGAAAGGCTAAAATTTACGCTTATGAAATCAAATATGAATAAAAATCAAAATATAAAAAAAGGAAAACTGCCTGAGATAATTATCAACTGAAGGCTAATGATTATTCATCACTAAATGGTGCTGGTTAATTAATTGCTCCCTTTATGTCCAGTGGCAGATATGTCATGCATATTCACGACGAGATGTAAAGTGGACCAACCTGAAGCAAATGATAACAACTTTAGAGGTACACTTTCATTAGATAGAGCGTTGACTAGAGGTAAAACGTATGCCGTAAAAGAATAAAGTTTAACCATGATATCAATCGTAAGTTAAGCTATTATTCCCCTCCCACTTTTTTCCCACTTTAGACGAATGCCAAAAACAAAACGACATGAATTTACAATCAATAACGGCCACTATAAGTATGTGAGATATGGACTCATTTTGTAAATAAATTCCTATTGCAGCCAGCATTTCCCGGTTTCTGACATGTTTGTTTTTCCACTCATATACTGTTTGATTATTGACCGGAGATATTAAATCAACCAAAAGCACTTTGATTCTCTGAAATTGTAAATTATGGTATTTCGTTGGCTGTTTCCCGATCTTATTTTGGACCTCCTGATTCTAAGAGGGCGTGTCTAATTAGTTATGCCCGATTAACTTTTAGTAAATTGAACCTCAACTTAAAGACCTACACCGGGTTAATAAGTTCGAGGTACAATAAGTAAACAAAAGAGATCCTACCAGGTATCTTTGATCATTATTTTGCTTTGAATAACGATCAATAACAATGAAAAATGCACGAACAGGTTTGTTATATAGGAAAATATATTGTTGTAAACAAAGTAATAACAAAATATTGCGTTCTTGTGACATTGATTTCCATATACCAGGGAGCTAAACTGTTATTTAAAAAGTCTCATTCACAAAAGGATTATTAAATTTGTGAAATAAATATAATATTTCAGGGTTAGGATTAATGCATTTGTGAAATGTCTATATTAACTTTTACAACTTTAGGACATTTTCAAAGTGGGAATATCATCTTTAGTGGAAGCTTATGGAAATATTTTATAAATTACAAAATTTGAAATAATGAACTGCCTGTTAAATTTGGACAACCATATATCTAACATGTCTAAGTATTTAATATTAAATTAAAAGTCCTTGAAATACAATTCCAAATACAACAACATAAAAAATAAATGAAATAAAATGTCTTTGATGTATGTTTACACAGTTTTGGCTGCTGAATCCCAATTATTGTCACATTAATCTGTTGTGTCTGTGGTTTCTCAATCAATTTGTTTTCATGGGTTTGTCATTTTTGAATTTACTTTTAAGTTCGGCATTTTGGTTATACCTTAAAAGTATACCAATATTAAAATTTTCAATTTCGATTACAATTACAAAATGAAACTCTAAAGGGAATAAGATGGATAAGTAAAACACAGATTTTTTTCTGCTACAAAAAGAAAAAAGCAAAAAAAAAAGACTCAGAATTTCGATAATACTTGCAAATAGAAATTAGAATATCGGAATTGAAAGCAGTAGAGAAAAGGGATTTAATTCCGCATGAGTTTTATTCAGCAGTAAAACAATTTGATATTAGTAAAGTTATCAAGTTTTTTCCAAAATTTTGACACATATTTTTGTTTGGCATTTGGAGAAAATTGGCCAAAACCAAATTTATAGACAATAAAAATAAGGACATATGGAATGATTGCCGATGCGACAACTATTAGACAATTTGAGTTATCATTAAAATTGAGAATGGAAATGGGGAATGTGTCAAAGAGACATCAACCCGACCATAGAACAGACAACAGCAGAAGGTCACCAACAGGTCTTCAATGCAGCGAGAAATTCCCGCATTGTATATTTGGACACGGTCTGAATACTAATAACACTTTATTCCAAAAGCAATACAGCTTATATAGGATACATACACATACTAATAAGAATTTTATCTGCACCAATAATAAGAATTTTCACAAAATATTCTTGAGTTACACAATATGTTAATACAAAGGTGTACATGAAATTAAATACAATACATAATACATTATACAAAATGCGAAATACGAGCGGAGAATGATATACTTTAATAAACACAATATGTGAGAACAAATATACTATATAATGCAATTACATTCTAAGTGTTTCTGCTCATTTTAAAAATATACCTAAGTTATTTAATTCTTTAATATTTTGGACAGATAACAACTTGATAAGTTTGTTTGCAGATGGATTTCTCCCATGATACTTTTTTGTATACTGTTCTCGAATTTGACTATATTTTTGACATTCAAGTATGAAAGATACTTTCTTTGCATGTTTACAATATGATCATAAAGACCAAGATTGTTCTCAGTTTATAAACACATACAAATGTATATAAGTAGAACAAACTCCTTAAAGAATAAGAAAACTAGATCTTGAATTAGTTGTACTTATCAGAGAGCCTTACCTGAAATCGAAGCTGGAAAGTCGCCATTCATTATTATAAACGGAATGGTTTACGGATAATGCTGATGAGAAAATAGAGACCATTTGAAGTTTTTCCTGAAAATTAATTAGATCTGGTTTATCGAATTGCTGTGTCTAAAATTACAGAAAAGAGGTTATATGTTCAACTCATGATTCTCTTAATGCTGCTGATCACTTAAGGGTAGCCAAAATTCATGACAAATTATAAAACATTTTTATTGGCATAATATTTTGTATACGACTCTGTAACATCATTATTTGTTTTCAGTACCAGCACCCGTGTATGACAAGATATATTGGAATACATTGAAGATATATGGAAATGATCCGTCTTCAACCACGAGTGACTATCCTGAAATGGTCTTAGGCAAACGTACTGTCAATTTAGATAAAAGAAAGATCAGTTTTAACCTTAAAGATTGCTATGATTTGCTCCTAACGTATCGGATTTCAGTCTAGACTCCCATTTGTATAGACAAATATTTTTTTTATAATTCGAATCTTGTTTATGATTCCTGTGAAGCTTTCACAACTAAATATGGACTATTTAAACGCAATTACTGTGGTTTCATTTATTTTCGTGTGTACCAATTTTTATGGACTGATGAAAAATTACAGTTTCGGGGATATTTGATTTCGTCGTTTTCCAAAGTCATCACACAAACTTTGAAGAAAAAAGTTTACCTATAGCAACGAAATTCACGACATGTACATACCCTGTTAAATCATTCGTAATTTTTTCTATTGTCTGAGAGTGCATTTGAGTTTAAAAGTAATGTAGAATTATTAATGATGCTGAAATTCTTATAAGCATATTATTTTTACAACTGGAATTCTGATATTATTTACCTTATAAACTACTTTTATATACTTTTATTTGTACATTGTTTTTGGTTACTCTGATATTGCAACAGAAATGTAATTTTGAAACAGAGTAATTAGATTTAGCAATTGCAAAATAGTCAATTTGATATATGATAATGCCATACAACTAGATACAATAACGGTTAAATCAGTCGTGTGTCCAGTTACTTGTATATCATAATACTATATTGGTAGACCATACAAAATATACATGTATAATTTGTTTCCTCGTGCATTTTAACAATAGTTCTGACATGTTTGCACAGTACATGGAAAATATAATAAAAAGTACTTTTATCTTAACTGATCCTTACTGTAGATTTCTGGACGTGAGTCAAGATATGAGTCAGACTTAACTGTTTCTGTGGTATTCTTTATTTCAAGTTCGACTAGATAACTGTGCTGAACATAGTCATCTAAGTTCTACATGTATATACATATAGGAGAAAGTCGACAGGAAGAGGAGAACAGTTGATTCAAAGATCTTGTTTAAAAAAAGTAAAATAACAAAAATACCGAACTCCGAGAAAAATTCAAAACGGAAAGTCCCTTATCAAATGGCAAAATCAAAAGCTCAAACTCATCAAACGAATGGATACCAACTATCATATTCTTGACTTGGTACAGACATTTTCTTATGTGGAAAATGGTGGATTGAACCTGGTTTTATAGCGCTAAACCTCTCACTTGTATGACAGTTTAAGGGAGGCATAAAATCAGTCTGATTTAATCAAAATTGTCTGAAACTGATATCAGGAAGCTTAATTTCTTGATTGACAACTAATTTATAACGTTCTGAGGAAATATTTTTTAATCAACAATCGGTTTTTCTTTTGGACTGGTGTTTGTCTTAACGTCGTTTTGTTTCTTTAAGTAATCTTGTTTTCCTTGACCCATGTGTATATTCCAAACTTAATTTTTTCTTCTTATTATTTGATACTTGACCTTTGTTGGAAGAAACTATGTCGAGCTTTAGATCTTTGTTTTCATATTTTTACAGCTATAAATGAATGTGCATCTGGTCTATGTGAACACGGAGGTAGCTGTACAGATAATGTGAATGGATATACATGTACATGTGAAACCGGATATCGCGGATTTAATTGTGAATACGGTAAGAAAATGTGTGTGTGTGTGTGTGTGTGTGTGTGTGTGTGTGTGTGTGTGTGAGAGATGTTTATGAATATTAGATACTCAAAATTGATCGATCAATTTAAAGACATGGAGGTGGAGTTTGCGTTTCCTTTTATTGAAACATAAGATAAAGTAGAAAAAATAGTTTCCATGCATAGAAATTAAGCTGTATCAGCATGTAACGCTCATGAAATAAAATACCCTATCCACTGAATGACAATTATTGAACTGGGTAGACTGGTGTACGGACTAATAAAAGTACCCATACGAAAAGCGAACACAGAAGACAGCTGATACGTTCTCCCATTTAACCTGGAAATACATCTAGCTGATTAAGAAGGGTAGGTATATTCCGTTCTGAATGTTATCACATTCATGTGCAGGATTATTGAAAAACAAAAAAATATAACATCTTGATTCACATCGTATTTGGAATCTATGGATGTCCATTTTTTGTGTTACATGTACATTACAATTTTCCGCTATCTTCGTACCAGTTTGTGACTTTTTTACATTTATATATACCTTTTACAAATCACAATATTTTCTTATTCTCTATAGGGACAGCCACGTAATTTGATGATGGGGGAGGGACTATAATATTTTATATACATATATGCAGTTATTTCCCTTTAGAACATTAGGTTTTTCTTTTAAAGAAAAAACCCAGACGATTACAAGTTTCAAAGAAATGTGCTTAAAAGCATGAAATAATGACCCATGGAAGATCTATTTTACCAGATTTAAATGCGCACTACAGTTTATTAAAATATGTAATTCATTTGACAGGAATCGTTTGTTGTTGCAAACTATGATTTTACTGTACAATTTTTCATTTTTTTAAGGTCTTTCCACCATTGAATTTCTCTATCATTGATAAGAAGTCACTTCCTGTTTACTCTAAGATATTGGTTGCAGTCTTGTAATTGACTGCTCCAAAGGCTTACATGCTAAACAGCTGATCTTTGCAATTTTTTAAAAATAAAATGCTACATAAAAATTTATTTTCATGTGCATGGCATGTATGTACTAATGTGAAATTGTGATTTGATCGAAAAAAAAGTGGGTCATGCCACAAAGAATAAAAAGTTATGTAACCCTGAAGTCAAAACTAATTTTTTCTACTTTCTGTTTGCTGTTTTTACTAGGCCGCACCACTTCCAGTAAACATGATATCCTTCCACTTCCCTGAATTGATATCCCCAAAAAGATGCAATATTCTTTTTTAAATCTAAACATATGTTTTTATTCAGCATAAACTTTTAATCAAACAGAAAAAATTGAATCCCGAAAAAAATTCAGAAAAAAATGGACTACTTTATTTCACTCCATGTTTTGACATGCACCGGAAACTGGAATTTTAATACAATAGATATAAGAAGATGTGGTATGAGTGCCAATGAGACAACTCTCCACCCAAGTCACAATTTGTAAAAGTAAACCATTATAGGTCAAAGTACGGTCTTCAACACGGAGCCTTGGCTCACACCGAACAACAAGCTATAAAGGGCCCCAAAAATGACTAGTGTAAAACCATTCATACAGGAAAACCAACGGCCTAATCTATATAAAAAAAACGAGAAACGAGAAACACTTATGAACCACATCAACAAACGACAACCACTAAACATTAGGTTCCTGACTTAGGACAGGTGCAAACAAATGCATCGGGTTTAAACGTTTTAATTTGTACCAACCTTCACCCTTACCTGAAACAATATTGCAACATCACAACATAGAAAGACACACTACAAAATATCAATCGAAATGGCTTAACTCAGCCAAAAGACATATTAACAAAAACAGGTGAACATACACTGAACGAATAAATTTGATCTATGACACAATGTAAGTTTAACAAGACTGGTACCTATTACTGACGTCAAATCATTGGTTTTTTTTATTCCAAAAATATATGGTTCCTTTGTACTTTTTCCTGAAATAAGGGAGATGATTTGCTACATCCGGTTAAGAACAGGTCACTTTAGGTCTCAGAAGACAGTTATATTCACACTGATTCCAAAAATATAAGGCTTCGATGTACTTTTGCCGGTAATAAGAGAGATCATTTGCTACTTACGGTTTACAGAAGTTGACGTCCGGTCTCAAATGAAAGGTTTATGCACACAGAAAATGCCGAAGAAAATATGGTACTTTTATATGAAAGAAATGCAATAAATGCTACTTATGGTTTACTCAAAGTCACTTCCGGTTGACTTTTTGAAAGGTTATAATTTTCAAACCGAATGCAAAATTCCATTTCTGGCTTTATAATGTACCTGTATGAAGTTATTGCAAAAGTCAAAATCCAGAACGTCAAATTCTCATTTGACCTCGACCTCACTATCAAGGCCTTAAATGAATGATCTCAAACTTTGTACAGTTCATGAGTTAAATCTTCATACAATTAACTCTTAACTTTCCACGGTAAAAACTATTAAAAGGGACAGTACTTTTTCGACCAAAATTTAAAAGTTACGACCTGTCGTAAAGAACAATTTTGGTGAAAAAGATATCATTACTTATTACGGTTTGTGAACAAAAGCGAAAAAAATCAAAAGTTAGAATTAAGATCATAACCTTGATCTTGCCCTTTGACCCTGACCTCAAATTTCCCTTTGTTCTCTATAACTAAAAGTTCTCGAGTAACATTTATATATCACTATGTCAAATACAGAAAGGGGAAAAAACTCTGATATGGAGTCTCCGTATTTTGACTATCTTTGGTCAGAATCTCAGAGAACATCCTTAGGATATAAGGACCAACTTGGAATAATAAATTTGTCGATTTCTTTTACGGATGCGAAGGAGTTAACAGATCAAAAATTCGTACATAGGAAACAGTGGACAGTAACACCGGTTCAAGAGAGAGAAAGAAAGACAAAAGACACCAAAGGGACACTCAAACTCATAAGTCGAAAATAAACTGACAAAAGTAAAATCATAAAAATACTGAACTCCGAGGAAAATTCAAAAAGTAAAGTCCCCAATCAAATGGTAAATCAAAAGTTCAAACACATCAAACAAATGGATAACAACTGTCAAATTCCTGACTTGGTACAGGCATTTTCTTATGTAGAAAATGGTGGATTGAATCTGGTTTTATAGCTAGCTAAACCTCTCACTTGTATGACAGTCGCATCAAATTCCATTATATTGACAACGATGCGTGAACAAAACAAACAGACACAATAGGTAAAAAGGTCAAAATAGGGGTACAGCAGTCAACATTGTGTTATCATCTTAATCACTATAAAAACAAACAAATGTAACGAAGAAGCACAAAAAGGCATACATCAAATTTATCATCCTCATTTGCTTATATTATACGATTTTATTTATCTATGTAAAATCCACCCATAAAGGATGGAAGGTTTTAAGTACTGGCGTAAAATCGCGCGTTTGAAATTCGCACAGGTAGACATAAAAAAATTTTGTCGTTCAAAGTATGTCGGGATACATAAATACAGAGTCACGTAAAATGGATATCACAAAAAACAGACTTAACAGTAAAAGTAATATTAATAAATAAAATAATTGTGTGGTTCAAAGTAGGACGGAATACATAAGTACAGAGTCACATCAAATGTATATCACAAAAAAACAGACTAAACAGTGAAAGTCATATTAATAAATAAAATAATTTTGTCGTTCAAAGTATGACGGGATACATAAGCACAGAGTCACGTCAAATGGATACCTCAAAAAACAGACTTAACAGTAAAAGTAATATTAATAAAGACAAATAAAAGGATACTATAACACGTTATTAAGATGATAAACAACGTCAGTACGCAAAATCTATACTTCAAGACCATCGTGTATTATTTGTGAAGTTGATACGGAATATTTATCAACAAGTTCTTGGTACCTTCCGATGAACTTTTTTAGAAAAAGGACGAGACGTTCTTTGACATACCCCTGGTTCATCAACTTTCTGCTCAGACACTAGTGACGTTTTACAAAGTCTGAGTAGGAGCTGCAAGCTCTTGAATATCGAATAAGTTGGGAAATGTATATCCCATATGCAGGTGAAGTTGGTATATTGCTACTAAGGTGGGGGAAATTGATAATTTCAAAATTCAAATCGTCTCGTTTGTCATAGATTCTGGTACTGAGATGACTGTGTACGTCAAATTCGAGGTATAAGTCTAAAAATGAGGCGGGGGAAGCCGTGTCTGTTGTTTCTTTAATTTCTAGTTCTGGTGGATATATTAATGGAACCAAATCAGAAAAGTTCGGATTGTTAATGGAAATTACATCATCAATATATCTGAAAGTGAAATCAAATAACCTGGCTTCTTTGATCTTCTTGTTTTTGACAAGTGTCTGAAGGAACTCCGATTCATATGAAAATAAGAAGAGGTAGGCAAAGAGAGGCGCAAAGTTCGTTCCCATAGGAATGCCGAAAATTTGTTGAAAAGTCTACCTCCAAATTCAACAAATATGTTGTCAATAAGAAACTCCAGCATACTGATCACTTGTTCCTCTGTGTAGCAGGTTTACCCTTTTGTTCACTATTAACAAAATATGCCTTATGGTATCCCAAAGTAATAAATTTATAGCGTATGCTACCATTTTTATGATGAAAAGCATTGTGGATTATTTCTTTTAGACGGTTTTTTCAGTTTCACATGGGGAATGGTGGTATACAAGGTGGAAAAATCAAAAGTTTTGATAGAACTAATTTCAGAAAAAGACCGAGATTTAGAATTATCCAGAAGTTTTTTTTAGAGTTTTTAAGAATCCACATATAGTTAATACCACTACGCGAGTAAACAGTTTCACAGTATTTCTGAAGACCCTCTTTCACTGCGGACAGAATTTTAGTCAATCTAATGGACAATTCTTTAGTGGAACATGCAGATGAGCCGGCAATGTACCGTTGTTTGTACGGAATTTTGTGAAGTTTAGGTATCCAATACAAACAAGGTAATTCCTCCGATTTGTTGTTCAATGCAATATTCATTGAAGCCATGA